CTGACGGTCTCGCCAGCGATGAATATCCTTCGGATGGTCAAGTGGGACATGTTTTTGTCATAATGGATCTGGATATTGACCTGGTACGTTTACTAGGATGTTTGGATGGGAAAAGCAGATGAATGCAAAGATTGCTGACAAACGAGAAGACGAATTGAATAAATTATGGATAAGAAGATTGTTGGAACTCCTCAGCGGCAATTTGAAGTAGGTCGGAACGTTTGCATGTCGGTCTTACTCATCCCTCTAGCTTCGTGATTCCCGTCTTGACCATGTTAACCACCTACGGTTCGCACAATTCGGCACTGCCCATTGCATATATTTGACACCCTTACTTTGCAGCCACATAGTATGTACGGTTTTCTAGGCTTTATTTCAGCCCTAATCGTCCAACTCTCCATGTTCCTCATTCAGCGTCAGTGAATTGATGATAACTTTTTTCTCATTCTGACGCTCCAGAAGACCATCATCGCAAAACAAGAGCTCAGCTCTTCCAAGGTTTTTTCGTCGATGGCCGTTTTCGACTTGCTGCGCAACCAAATGTTTTTCACGTTTTATTGCATCTCGATGGCTGTTAACGGCAAAGTTTCCTTGGATCGCCTGAATGACTTCCTCCACAATGTGTGTTGTGCAGCCGGCAACTTGACTGGCTAATGACGGTTGTTAGACCGAACTTCTGGATTCTTTCGTTTCCAAAGATACGCCGGAGATGATCACCACCGACGAGCCTGCCTCGGACCTGATTGGGTTCCGGGACGCTACGTTTGCGTGGTCGAACGACGAGGTCGATGGAACCGTTACGCCTTCGAGGCGCCGATTCCTCCTCAAAGTCGAAGGCCAGCTCTTTTTCAAGCCGGGATGTATCAACCTCGTCGTTGGTCCCACAGGATCTGTGAGATAATTTACTGGCTATTGAGCCATCGTTACTCATATATTTTCGTAGGGCAAAACGTCGCTTCTTATGGCTCTCCTTGGTTTGCAGATTGTTCTTTTTTGTGAGGGAGATAGGCTCTTACGATTCCGCGCAGGCGAGATGCATTTCGTGCAGCCGTCGTTGTCCTCGTGGTATAACCTCCCTCGCGAGAAAGGTGTATCTTACGCTGCTCAGGAGAGCTGGGTTTTGAATGACACAATCAAGGTCAGTACGGGTCCTTAAGTGAAGTGCGTGTTGACTCCCTACAGAACAACATTCTTTTCAATACGCCGCTTGACGAGGAGCGCTACAAGAAGGTTCTGTACCAGTGTTGCTTGGAGCGTGATTTGGATATGTGGAAGGCCGGGGATGAGACCGAGGTTGGCGAGAAGGTGACTCCTCTCTCGCGTCCCAGCGCTGCGCCTCAGTGCTGATTGATGCCAGGGCTTGACGCTGAGTGGAGGCCAAAAAGCTCGGATCACACTTGCCCGCGCGATCTACTCCAACACCGAGATCATCCTGCTGGATGATATACTGGCGGCTTTGGATGTCCACACCGCGAAGTGGATTGTCGAGTGCGTACAGTTTGCCTTTGCTGAAGGCCTGATTCAATAATGAGCATCACAGCAAATGCTTGAGAGGGGACTTGATCGAAGACCGGACAGTCATTCTCGTTACCCATAACGTGGCCCTGACGAGCCAGCTGGCTGCTTTTGTTGTATCGCTGGGTTTGGACGGCCGTGTGCGCAGCCAGGGATCCATTTCTGATGCACTGGCGAAAGATGAGCTATTGGCTAAAGAAGTGAGCAGGGATCGGGAGATCCTTGTAGGAGCTGAAAAAGAGATCGATGGCTCTCCTGCTGCCGACGACGCGAAGAAAGATTCTGGTAAGCTGATAGTTGAAGAGGAGGTGGCCATCGGGCACGTTGGTTGGTCGGCGCTCAAGCTCTATATCCATGGCATGGGAGGAGGATATACCGTATCTTTTTTCACGCTCTTGATGCTGGGTTTCGTGGCATCCGAAGCGGGCTTCACTCTGCAAACGTGGTACTTGGGATACTGGGCTAGGTAGTCGTTCTGCGTGCCATTGCGTGCCTGATTGGCTCACGGTTATGTCACAGTCAGTACGGACAAGGCGAACCTGTGGCGGTATACAAGTGAGTGAATTCAACCATTGGCCCAGTAGATGCACTGACCATTCCAGGTATCTCGGTACCTTTTGTGCGCTATGTCCTCCTTGACTTTTCAAGTCGCTTGACTTGCATTTGTAGCCACCATGCTCCTAATCTCCTTGATCATATTCGGTCTCAACTTTATTCTCTACACTGTGGGATCATTTCGCGCGTCTAGAGTCATCCACAGGCAGCTTGTTGAGTCAGTCCTTGGTACAACTCTCAGATGGCTTGATGTCACCCCTACGTCGCGCATCATCGCGCGGTGCACTGTCGACATCACTGCTGTGGATGACTTTATTCCTGAAGGTCTCCGTGGGCTTCTAGGTGAGGGCTTGTTGACTCGATGTATTATCCGATTTACTAAGAAATTATAGCTTTGACAATTGCCATGCTCACCAAATTTTCCGCTGTCGTCATCTTCGCGCCGATATTTTTCTTTGGCGGCGCCCTTGTTGGTATCGTCGGTGCTGTGTGCGGGAGAATATACATGGGTAGTACACGCACTGACTCCACCATACCTTGCTGATAAACCACTGTCAGCCTCGCAACTCTCCGTGAAGCGAGAAATGAGTAACGCAAAGGCGCCGGTCCTTGCACAGTATGTCCATTATTTCTAGGTTAAATTCAAGTAATGAACAATTGCGTCTAGTTTCGGTGCTACAATGGCTGGACTGAGTCGGTCCTTGGCTGGCGTACACAACCGTAGTTGACCAGATCTACAGCGTCGGTCCGCGCATACGGTGCTCAAGAAAGCTCGATCCAGATCTCGATCAACAGGATCAATCGATTGACTAGGTTTGGCCTGCTTGCCGTGAATTACGTAAACAACTGAAATGCTTTCTCTAGGGCTCAACGTACGTTTGCGAACTTGAACCGATGGGTCACCGTTCGCATAGGTCAGCTTTGTCATCCATTCGTCCTCTCCTTGCTAAATGCTTTGAAGACGTCATGGGCGGGCTTTTCGTGAGCTTTACTCCTCCATGCAATGTTTGATCTGAGATGTGCAGGCCGCGTCACTGGCGTATTATGTTGTGTACTATCAAACCCAGCGTCCGTTCAATATCGGCTTCAGCCTAAACATGGTCAGCCACCCCAGACGATACTCCGTGATAATTCATGTCTGTCACAGGCCATTGGTTTTGCGGAAATGATTCTGTACTGGGTCAGGGTACTCAACCAGTTCGAGATCCAGGGCAACAGGCAAACGCCATTTGTATGCGTGTGGTCTTGCCACTGATTTTGATCTCTCCCAGCTTGGAGCGCATCCAGCAATACCTCGTCATCGAGCAGGAGCCCAAGCCCACCGCTTCCGGTGTACCTCCCGCGTACTGGCCGGCCTCTGGGAGTCTGAGTGTCGATAAGCTCTGTGCGAAGTACTCGCCGGACGGAGAGGAGGTCCTACAGGACGTCTCGTTTAACATCAAGTCCGGAGAACGCGTCGGCGTCGGTGAGTAATATATCATTGATTGACGGGTCTCTCACACTGACTGGGATGGAGTCGGCCGCACGGGATCGGGAAAGGTATGTGTGTTTCCCATCTCGGTTCCCGTCCGCCAACACGTTGCAGAGCTCGCTCACGCTTGCACTCTTGCGATTGATCCTGACTGAGGGCGCGGTGTACTACGACGGGATTCAGACGTCGTCGCTCAACCTGGACGCGCTGCGCGCCGCCATTACGATTATCCCGCAAGTGCCCGAGCTGCTCGTCGGCTCGCTGCGGTCGAATCTAGACCTATTCAGCCAGTTCGACGACGTGGTGTTGAATGGGGCGCTGCGAGCGGCGGGGCTCACTGCGCTGCAGGCGGAGATGGCGGGTGACGACGAGGGGCGACTTTCGCTCGATACTGAGATCGCCGCGGGTGGCGCGAACCTGTCGGTGGGGCAGCGCCAGATCATTGCTCTCGGTGGGTGGACCGGTGGCCCGTAGGCGCGGCACGAAACTGACGTGTGTGTCGCGTAGCGCGGGCGATCGTTCGGGGAAGTAAGCTTCTCATTCTAGACGAAGGTGCGCACTTGAACTTGGTCTGTGAAACATCATTGATGTGCTTGCAGCGACATCCGCAATCGGTATGCCTTTGTGGTAGTGCTGAGCTCTTTTTCGCTTCTTATGTTCGATATATAGATTACAAGACGGACGCGGTGATCCAGTCCTCTCTGCGCACGGAGCTGCCGCGCGACACGACCATCCTGACAGTCGCTCACCGGTTACAGACCATCATGGATGCGGACAAAATCGTGCGTGTGCCTATTCTCCATCTCAATCACCAAAACTCACCCATTTCGGGCAGATGGTCCTGGATGCTGGACGCATCGTAAGTCCACTGTGCTTCGTTCTCATGTCCGGACTAATTTGCGCAGGCCGAGTTTGACAGTCCCAAGGTGCTGCTGCACAAGAAAGATGGGATGTTGCGGGCGTTGGTGGACGAGTCCGGCGACCGGAAAGCGCTGTACAAGATGGCAGGCGCCACTGCGTGAGTATACGCCGCGCAGTTGGCCGTGGGCGGATGGTCTGACTTGGCGTTATATGCACGGTACTTCAACAGTGCTATGTGGCTTCATTTCCCACTACCGGATTTTTCTATTATCTGAATAACTTTCCTATAAACAAAAGAGTTAGTCAGAAGAAATCGTGATCCACCTATTCCACCCAATAAATTCTGTTTGGGGTCTGCGAAATTACCATACAATCAATTTAGATTCGGTTTCAAGGCAAACGGGCGCGAGCCCAGGGCAGGCATATTCTTCCAGAGAGTCGAAAATGGGCTCAAGTTCTGCAAAGAGCTGCTCAAGAACTAAGTATATCTGTAGGCCGATGGTGTAGTTGGTTAACTTTTGTGTATGCTGTCTCGATATGTAGTTTACGATTAGAGATGTCTTACCGGTCATTACCTTACTGTAGCAACACTATTCATGGGCCGATGGTGTAGTTGGTTATCACTTCTGTCTAACATCTTGCATCTTGATTACGTAATCAAGGCACTGTTCACAGGCGGTCCTCAGTTCGAACCTGGGTCGGCTCATGTTTTTTGGAAGGATAATCAATTTTGATCTAGAACTCTGGCTACGTAAGCTGTCTTAAATTTTAAAACCATTCAGTACTTAAAATGATTGGGGTTGGCCGGCAAGCGGCGGGTCACAAATAGAACAATGGGAGTGGGCAGCGATCGACCCATCAACAATCTCTTTGTACATATTGATTGATGCAGCCCCCCCGCCAAATCGTGCATCAAAACGCCGTCCACATTTCTGGCGTCCTGGCGGAGGGTCTAACAAAAGCCAGGAGGCAAAGTATTATTGGATCAACATATCTCAAATTCTGTTTCAATACAATTACTCCTACACTCAATATTAATTTTGTACCGGAATGCATCCTTGAGGGTATTGGGATAATTTGGCTGCTTCGATATAGTGGTATGGCTGTTAAGCACTTGATTTGAGTTGGCGGCGCATTATATGGTGGCTGTACAACGATCCATCAGCCCATCAAAATCCCATCGCTGCCCACTCCCAAGAACATGGTAAATATTTTTGTACAGTAATTTAGGTATTACCCGTCAACAAAGCTGAGCTGAGTGGGTATGAGAGTGTGCACGAGGGCAATACAGCACAGCGGCAGCGCGCGCGTCGAAAACGAACCCGCGCAAACTCAATGGAGCGTGCGTGGGGAGGGAAGGCAGCGGCAACGCAGGGTGTTCAGAAAGAGCCTGTACACACTCAGTGGAGCGTGCGCAGGGCGGCGGTGCAGGCGGCGGCAGCGCCGGGCGTCGAGAACGAGCCCGTGCACGAGACAGTCAGACGCAGCAGTGCAGGCGGCGGCGGGGGTGCACGGGGCGGTGGAAGACGACAGCGGCGCGGGGCGTCGAAAACGGGCCCGTGCACGCTCGCAGGGCACGGGGCAGTGGAGCGCGGCGGCGGCGGCGGGGATGCACGGGGCGGTGGAAGGCGGCGGCGTGCGGGGCGACGAAAACGAGCCTGCGCAGGGCGGCGGTGCAGGCAGCGGCGGGGGTGCACAGGGCAGTGGAAGGCGGCGGCAGCGCGGGTCGACGAGAACGAGCCTGCGCACGCTCATCGGAGCGTCCGCAGGCTGGTAAAAGGCGGCAGCAGTGCGGTGGATGGCGGCGGCAGCGCGGGCGTCGAAATCGACGCTCATTGGAGCGTGCGCACGGCAGTTCGGCGCAGCGGAGGCTCGGGGCGTCCACAACGAGCCCGCGCACGCTCAAAGGAGCGTGCGCGGGAAGGGGCAAGGCGGCGGCGGCGCGGGTGCCTATAAGCCTGCGCAGTGGAGCGTGCGCAGGGCGGCGGTGCAGGCAGCGGCGGCGGCGGGCAGCCCGTGCACGGGACAGTGGAACGCGGCGGTTGGTGGAGGACGGCGGCCGTGCGGGGCGACAAAACGAGCTTGCACAGAGCGACGGTGCAGGCGGGTGCACGGGGGCAGTGCGGGGCGTCGAAATCGAGGCTGCGCACCCTGGAGCGTGCGCAGGGCATTTCGGCGCGGCGCGCTCAGAACAAGCCCGCGCACGCTCAATGGAGCGTGCGCGGGGACGTGAAAGCCAGCGGCGGCGCGGGTTGTCCAGAACGAGCTTGCGCGGCGCAGTGGCCGGCGGCAGCGGCGTGCCGGCGCGGGCATTGAAATCGAGCCTGCGCTCCCATGAGCAAGCGCAGTAAGGTTCGGCTCAGTGGCAGCGCCGGGCGCCCAGAATGAGCCCGCGCACGCTCAAGGGAGCGTGCGCAGGACGGTGGAAGGCGGCGGCGGCGCAGGGCATCAAGGAGGAGCCTGCGCACGCTCAATGAGCGTCCGGGGAGCGGGACGGCGGGGACGTGCAGACGCCGGGGGGTGGCGTGCAGAGGACGCGCGCGCGGCATGCAGAGGGCGCAGGCTGCGTGTAGACAGCGCGGGGGCGTTCAGACGGCGCGGGTGACATGCAAACGGCCAAATGGCCGGGCGGCGTGCAGAGCGCTACAGGGCATTCCTAATTTACTGATGGAGCCCATTCAAACGATTAGAGAAAAGAGAACAGGAAGGAATGTGCACCAGCGAAGACGCGAATGAGCACATGACTACACGATTATATAAGCCAAACTGTGCCATTTTTTATACAAACAGAACTAAAGTTCTATTTGTGAATAAAATTGTGGTCGACATAAAAGAAAGTGTGCATAGTACAGTAATGGCCCCGACGGCCTCTCAATACATCCATCAGATCGTATAACTGTACCGATGTACTCAGCCTTCGTTGACCGCTTGCAAGAATGATCCTTACCGGAATAGCGGGCTCTCGCTGCCCATGTCCCTGAACTCGGCACGTCTGGCTGCATCGATCCCCTCGCGCGCGCAATACGCATCCCGCTGCTTGTTGATGCGGTTGTAGTCCCACATGGCGAAGCAGCTTAGTATGATGCTGTATTCAAGGATGAGTATAATTAGCTGTCGACGCCGTGCACGTAAACTGGGACGTACGTGAGACTCAGGAATCCCATGATTGTACCGTGGCCGACGTGGAAATATGGTGGCTGGAAGTAGATGAACGAGGAGCAGATTCTGCCAAGAGAGCTGTAGCAAAGACTGTAAAATCATACAAGGGAACCTACCCGCCAAGGTTCCCGAGACCGATGACCATGGCAATGACAACACCTTGCAAACTAGAGTCAGAAGCTAGAAGAGAACCGAGCAGGCAAGTCGACCTTTACGAACGTCTCCACCGGCAATGCTGCCCGCCCAAGCGAGATCCACAGCGATCGTGGGGTAGACACCAACTGCAGCCAATACGGCGCCTGCATAACCAGCCCCAGGGGATTTTTGCGTATACAGGATGATATATCTGAGGAAAGTCAGTTCGCGCAAAGAAAATATTTTTTAGGTATACCCGACGAGTCCTACAAGGGACGAGCCAATGACAAAGGGGCCACGCAAATTATACTTATCAGAGAGGAGGCCAACAGCGATGGTTGCAAAACAGCCGCAGACGAAGGGCGGAATCGTAAGCAGTTGTGCTTGCGCGGCAGTGAATCCTAACTCCTGCACGATCGTGGGGGTGAAGAGCTATACAATCCGTCTAGAAATCTACTGGCAATGGATGAATTCGCACTTACTGCAATCGCATACACGGGAATGAGCAGTCTGTGAAAAGTTAGCACAGAACCGAGACCTGCGGAAATATTACCCTATGTAGATCCCAATCTGCACATAGGTTTGGTAGTCTGCTATTGCCTGCCAGACGAATTTTCGGTCATAGTGCGTGGCGAGGTCTTGCGAATCCTCTTTCAACAAGTGGACTATCTGTTTGCGTTCTTCCTCGGAAAGAAATGTTGCCGTTTCGGGGTACTGAAGAACAAATCAGACGAGGGTCGAAAGGGAAGAACGACTCAATCACATCGTGCATGTAGAAATAGGACGCCCCGGCCGCTGTTGCATGGTTATGAATGTCGAGAAATACTCATTAAAGGATTTGATACCCAGCATGGTCGCTATAGTAATGAAAGAGTCAGTAACAATAATGCCGAGTGCGTGGCCAATCTACCGAGGCCTTCTAAACAGAACTAGAGCCTTTTTTGTGAGCCGCCATAGTAAGTGGAACTCGCGATGGAACTCACAATCCATTGCCATCCGTGAAGTCCGCCGATGCCCTCCATCTTTTCGATTGCAAATCTTGACGAAGGTCAGCCTGGAGAACCGCACATACTGAAAAGAACCGACGCCAGTATGCCGCCAAATGCGCCTTCACACCAACTTGGTCACTATGTTCCTACTCAGAAGTGGAACTCACCAGCGACGGTCGCAGCAGAGAAAAAAATGGCTACACGGGATGCCACATCACGCCTCCGATACCACAAGGACAGATAGAAAGTAATCTGATTGAAGTTAGAAGGTGTAAATGGTCCCGTCGACGAGGAATACTCCGGGGAATAGACCGGCCTCTGTCAGACCGAGGAACACTCGAGCACTGAGACAAGATTAGCCAGCGGCTGGATAACTGGAGCTGCTTCACATTATAAGCTCATGGTAAGTCTTGCAGAGACACATTAATGTCATAACGAGTCCTGGGTTGGATGAGCCAAGATGTACCGCGGAGAACGTGAGATACACGAACCCCAGGCAAGCATTATGGACGGGACTTGAGAAAGAATCAGCACGGTGAATGCTTGCAGAATATGACGATATACTCCATCGCGACGGTCGAACAAGCTTCAAAATAATGTTTCTATTCGCAAGTGAACAAGTAAATAGTTGTCCCGTACAAAACACATACGAAGGAACTTCCGCCAAGGCGTACGGAATCTGTCGGTAGTGAGCGAATGGAAGAAAAAAAGGCACGCAACCCACGAAAAAGACGGCCGCGATCTGAAAACAAAGTCAAGGAATTTTTCGAAGATGTATACCAACAGGTAACATACAATATTGTAGCGAAAGCCGATCAGGTCGGCATCCTTCGCCATGCCTAACTCGTGAATTGAATCAAGCATTACTGTCAGAACGGTAAGGACTGCGAACCAGCAACCTTTGCATTTCCCTAGAGAGTGGAGTTAGGAGTCGCGTCAATTGGGAGCCTGAAAGTGTACGCACGACATTCGCTCTGTCTCTGTTCACACCGGCGACTTGTCAGTAAATACAACGGCAGATGGCAAAAACAGGACGCACAAGAAAGACAGCAAGTACAGCAACGAGACGAATGGGAGCAAGTGAACATCAAGTTTGCGAAGGATCTTGGCGTGTGCAACCGAATCGAAGCCTTCAACGGCTCGCTCTTTGTCCAAGATGACATCCTCGTCGGAGGAAACCTTCTTTGCTATTTCCATGTTGGAAGCCGACATGGTGAGAAGCCGCGGTCTTGTTTGTTTGTACCTTTCACATTTCTTTCTTCTCGTCAGCCACTGCGAAAAGATGGGGAAAATGCGGAGTAGATGATAACCCACGTCCGATCAAGGTCGTGGGTGCATGACGATCACTGGCAATCTATTTAGATAGCCGCAGTCTAGTAGCCGATGAGAAACCGTATAAGACGCGTTCACTACTTTGCAACAC